TTATGCTTTTTGCAATCAAGCTTAGCAGTATCAGGACATGTTACAGGGGATGTCAGCAAGCAAAGAAAGATGCTATGAATAAGAAGCTATGAATATCATTGACGTTATGTCTGACTTTGCAACCTTGCGCTTTCAGCAGGCAAGCATAGTATGAGACAGAACAAGGTCTCATACATCAGGCAGTTACTTTAAACTTGCATGGTGGTGAAGGAAGTTATCAGTCTTTGTCTTCTATGTATTCTTTCCTATTTATTGTACAAAGGCTCTTGAGCCCAAATAGCTGTTGGAGTTTCTCAGTCATGTAATCCATAAGTTAAGTTTACTACACACACAGACCAAAATGGGGCCTACAGTCTTACTCATATTTGTTTTTCATTGGTTTATGTGTTTCCAAGATTAAACAAATAGCAACAGTCTGAGTCAATTCACCTCTTAACACCGACTACCCAGCCATGGCAATGTGTCTGCCAGCAAGAGACACGTCAGTCCTGAAAGTACCCCATTACTCTTTCTGGGTGTAATGCATAACATTTTAAAAGGAGGATTCCATTAATATAATATTGCACTTCTATAAATGCTTGGGCTCCAAACAGACAGAATTTTAAAAGCAAACTATGAAAAATGAAGACGTATTGGCCAAGATATATTAGCTTTTAGCCTTTAGGATGGGGCAGCTTCCAAAATGCTTGATCATACATTTCCAGTGATGCAGTTAGTATGAATTAAAGTGAGGGAAGAGAGGAAAGAATGAAAAGCATGTCATCATGGGATATTCTTTAACTATGTAATATTGCAGTTACAAACAGTCGTGTATTACAGCATGTAGCCGATATAATATACCTGTTTAACTTTATTCTAATTCACTAAACAAAACACTGATAAGCATTGAAAGCTGAAGTCAACAACTCTGCGTTGACTGTTAGCTGCACAGTCAGCGCTGTCAGTCACTTAGCTAATCTAGCTAATGACATTAGCAAATGTCATCAGCTGCTATCATTAGCTGACTAAAGCACCCCAAGCTTGCTACTCTTGGTCTCCATTTTCTTTATTTGGTTAGGGGTAGAATGGCATTTTCACCCAGCCGCAACATTAAAATGCTCCAAGTGGATGAACACAAATTCCTAGAATGTAAAAAGCAGTGTATAAAATATTTCATCAGTGAAAATCATCAGGTCACCTGTAATTGCTAAAAATGTGTTTTGTGTGATCATGTTTTTCTTTGTTCTTTCCTATTTCTACATGCTGCTGCTATGATCTCATTTCCACAGAAATCATTTGAGTTCAGTGTTTTCTAATTATACACCACCTTTTTCTCCTCTTGTCTCTTTCTTTTCCAGCAAGCTTTTAGGTCCAGTCTTTACAGAGACCTACTACACAGAAGATGGGCAGCCAGTAACTGTGACCAATCACAATTACACTGTAAGTATGAAGCACCAGGCTGAAGTAAGTCTTTGGAACGTTGGATCTCTTCTCACCCCTTTTTTCACCCTTCTTCTTAATTGCACACTCCTTCATTAAGGCTTTCCATCCTATTACTGCATACAGTATATGGACTTCAGTCAAATCTTAATCCTACAGCAAAATAGTGTCTTTATTCTAAAAGACTCTAAAACTGTAACTTTTAACCTAAACCTAATCCTATTTTTAAACTTAAACCAGTTCCAAATTTTAATTCTAAAGTAGACCCTTGATGGGTTACAGTATATCATGTTTACTGCACATAACTGCCAACTCTTTTCCAAATCATAAGAGTGTTTTCATTTTTTGAATTAATACTGTACCCACAGGCAACCGCTGGTTTCCATTCATTTCAGTATGATAATAAAATCAGCTTGCAGGCTACAAACCTTTTATGTACAGTGTGTATGTGATTTGACATTTCATGTGGCATTTAAGAAGGACATTAAAAAGCACTGTACAGTTCAAAAGGAATATTCATCAGTTAGGATTTGGAACTGAAATAACCCTTTATGAGATTTATACACTATGATATTACCACTGAGTATTATTTATTTTGTATTTTTTTAGTAGTTTTGTCTCATGAAAGAAATGAAGCAGTTATATTTTGGAATATGCAAAACCAGACAGTGTCATTTGTGTGGAAGTCCCATGGTGCCCAACATTAAAATGCAATTATTTAACCAAATTGAATTTTTGATTTCCATTCCTGTGCATATGATGGATGACAAAACTGAAACAATTGCAAAATAACATTTTATTTTTTAATTCAATTCAAAAAATGTAGTCTATCATATAATGATAGAAAATTATCTTGAGTTACAGGCACCTGAACAACATAAAGACATACACCAAAGTAAACACATAAGAGTCACATTAAAATGAATAAGTAACTAAATGTGCGCAAAAGTTGCATTAAGAGGTGAACTGAGCTGCTGTTTCCTTCATCGTTTAAATAACCTGTCCCTGGTTATTAGAGCATGTATTAGTAGTAGGCTGCAGCAGTATTCTATCCTTTCTTCTATTTTTGTATATACTTTATTTGTTTCATTTAAATTTTAATTTAATGTTTTGATGTTTACAAAATGACAAGTAATTTTATGACTTGTGTTTTTTCTCTTACTGGTAAAACACACTGGAAGTATGGGCAAACTCTGAAGCACACAAATAAAGATAGATATTTACTAATAAACCTGAAAGAATAGTTGTGCTATGATTTAATTACTGGCCTATCAATCACAATGTAACTAAGTCAGATTTTCTTTACTGTATACCTACATGTAAGCAAGCTGCATTTGATAATGAAGCAGTGGTTTGATATGGGAACTTGTGTCATGATGTCAAATATGTCATGATCTGGAGCATCGCTATAGGACATTTACTTGTAAAATTAGCTTTGTAAGTAAAAAATGTATGATCAGGTCCAGAATAAATCCAGGAATAAAAAATAATTTCATCTAGTTTAATGAAAATCTGTGGAAACTAATGCAGAAAAGTAATTCAACTATACTGCTATACTTATTTAAAAGCACAAAGATATCTTTGTTTCCCCATTGCTCAGTTAACTTGTGTGGCTTTTCCCATTGGCTGGAAGCACACAGTTGTGGGTCTGATTTTTAAATCTGGATACTGCCAGGAAACCAGTAATTTTAGACCTACTGTATAAGCATTCTGCCAGCTCTTCTCATCTGAGAGTTAGCTCAGACAGAAAAACAAAGATGAACATTTAGCAATATACCAACTGTATCCCAATTCAAGGGAAATATTCTAAACAAAATGCACTTAGCCTATGAAAAGCAACAAGGTAAATATCCTACAACTAAAGTGCCTCATGATCAGCAACTGTAAATACAGTAGCATGCATGCACTAGAAGGAGACCCCCAAAACAACTTTAGACCACAAGGGGAAACCATTCCCCACTGATTGATTGTTTTAAATGATCTCTTTAGGTATTAGCAGCAACACAAGCACCTCCCAGAACACACCACAAGAAATAAGGTCAACTGCTATGTGGACCTCATGTGAATAATGCCATTACAGCAAACTGAGCAGTGAGCAGCACATCACCTGCAAGCATGCAGAAGCCATAAATGCTATTAAGTCCTGCTCATCACCGACTGAATCTGAACAGCAATGAAGGCGTCTGGTCCACCTAGAATCTGAGAAACCGCCAACAGCAGAGCAGTTGTAGCTAGCTTTCTGGCACTGCCAAAGAAACAGCTCGTAGTGAGCCAAAACATGCCCTGTCACTAGCAAAGAATAAAAACACAATCACCACAGCAGCAGACACTTAGCTTAGCCCCAGGTATAATGGTGTGACTGACCTCTCATTCAGGAAACACTGTTTATAGTCATGTTTTGTAACTGCAAGGCAAACAAACCCAAGCAGCAGAAAGGAAGAGAGACTGCCTACTGCTTGTTAAAAAAAATGTATCATTTGCAACTCTGTGAGCTGCTGATGTTAGCTCCCCGTCTGTGACAGCTCTGACAGATTATGTTTACAGTTATGCTATTTACTGGCCCCTCCTGCTTTGTGCCACACCACATGAGTAAATTTCACAAGGAAGATTTTTGGTTTTATGGCACTGAAATAGGACATTCCAGGTTATAATGTCTGGAATGTATACCTAAATGAATGTGATAGGATGTTACTAACTACACAGCTGTGAATGAGCCAGTCATTGTAAGGCATACTGCAGAGGAACAGTGCTGGGAGGTAGTGAACTACAGTCATATTTGCATAGTGATTTAAGCAGTTCAATTACTTGTTTCCATTTTTGTGTAGTCAACTACTGCAACTGCAAACCGTTTTGGGCCATCAAAGGAAAGGAATAATTTTTTACATTTTTATTTTGCCAGGCTGCATGTGAGCAGCTTTTCAGCATTGGTATGGTTATTTTCAGTGCCTATTGCTGTAATTCTTCTTCAAGTGTGAAGTAATTGGTACCTTGGAAAGCTATGCTTTCAAAGCAGATTCCCTAACACAGCACTACAAACAAATATAGCAAATCAGTCAATAGAAGCGTATCCTCAGTACTCTGCCTGATCGAGGTTAGGCTTCATTCTTAAGGCTACATGGGAGGCATCACTGTGGCATGAGGTTGCTGCCTTAGCTGATGCATACCTTACAAAAGCACTTCATGAGTCTTGTCAGCTGTACGTCAGAGACTGTGTGTGGCAGGTTGGGGAGCACAGCTTTTCAGCCAGGTTGAAAGTGAGTTTCAGGAAATAGGTGCTCTATGAAATCCTGAGAGCTGCTGGTAGAGCCCCAAACCAGCATCTGGTTACTTAAAAACATACATCTACATACCTGCAAAGGAAAAGAAGCAGCAGGCACATACTGTATATACATATGTAAACACATGTAAAGAAGTTCTAATACACTTGTACAGTAGTACAGTATATATTTTTCCACATTTGTATGCTTACATACACACAGATAGCAGTGTCATATTCCACTGCATAATATATAAATATATATAATATGATATAAAGTTCTAAAAGTTTGTTGCAGAAGCAGATTGAAAAGGTTTGGGTTTTCAAAAAGTTAAAGCAAATTTAAAGTTAAAACATCCAAGTGGCAATCTGATATTATAACATTTGTACCACAGTACTGAGCATTTCAGATTTGTTTTATGTCATCATATTGCAAATGCAGCACATCATTTGCATTTTCTTTCCATCATTTCCCTTATTTTCTCTTGTATTATGGAAGAATTTTCTGTGTTGCTTTTTTCTTTCTGTCTGTCTCTTTTTATTTAGCTTTTCTCTAATGACCTTAGTTTCCTAAGGAAAAAATTACATCTTGTATGGTGTATTTTTGGACACAGAAACATTTTCTGAGCACAAATGTTCACATATTTGTTATGTCTATTACTTTCTTCATGATTTTTTACTGATATTGGGATTCAGAATTGAGGAAAAAAAACCTCTTGATGAGTGTTTCTTTGGTCTTCAATCAAGTATTTAGTCACAGTCCTCTTCATTCTGTGTCCACTAAAGTCATTTGATTTCAATCTCTCTCAAGAGTGAAATTATCAAGATCTTTGCAGACGTCCCACATCTTAAGAGTTTTTGATGATCAGAGGTGGTTTAAAGCACTGATTGGTCCTTTGATCAACATTGTTGTTAAGTGCTACATCACAGGAACCAAATCATCCATTTTCCCTCAGTACACTTTTGGCTGTTGTTCCAAGCTGATTTATGTACACTTATGTTTTAAGTGATTAATAATTTCTTCAGACAAATAAGTTGATAAAGTTAATGATTGGTTTAGTTTTAGAGCTGCGTTTATCTCTCAGTTTTAGTTTATCTCTCCCATTTTGTGAGTGGATTCACTTATTTTTAGGTATGTGCAGTCACCCACTATGTACCACCTTCACTTGCTTTGGAAACAGTAGTACAAGTAGCGCTCGCAAGTCCCTTGATAGATGTGGACCTTGTGCAAATGTTACCTTTCTTTCCAGGACCACATATCACGTATGATTTACTGTTAGAATGTGTTAGGCTGGGCGGGCCCGTGACACAGTGGTTAGTGCTGTCATGTTCAAGTCCCGGCTGACCAGGGGCCTTTCAGTGCGGAGTCTGCATGTTGTCCCTGTGCCTGCATGGATTCTCTCCGGATGCTTCGGCTTCCTCCCACAGTCCAAAGACAATGCAGCTTAGGAGTGAGTGAGTGTGCGTGTGTGTGGTTGTCTGTCTCCTAGTGTCAGCCCTGTGATAGACTGGCAACCTGTCTGGGTGTACCCCACCTCTCTCACCAAATGTCCCTTCAGGAGTAAGAGGTGTAAATAATGGATGGGATGGACGGATGTGTTAGGCTCTATTTCTGAACATGGTGCATGCCTTTCACCATGCTGTCTATCTGGCAGAGTTTGAGGCTTTTCTGATAACACTGAAGAAACCAGCATCAAAAAGAAGCCAGTGACAGTGACTGATAACATCAACTTTACTCCAGATATTTTTAGTTAAGGACACAGTCAGTGAAAACCAGGGATTCTCAAATACAAGGCGTCTGGTCCACCTAGAATGTTTGCTAATGGGTTTGTCAACGTTTTGACAAGTTATATTAGTTTCTCACTAGACAATAATTGTTAGATTTGCACAAAGCATTTAATACTATGCACTGTACTTTGCTGAGAAACCTTAAAAAGGTTCAGTTCTGTCACTGAAAACATGATGCATTTAAATCTATAACTGCTGACTGTGAAATTCCACAGGGCAGTGTTTTGGGTTCTCTTTTTTTTTTAAAGTTTCTTATTAAATATTTGTAGACACTTTATGTCCATATGATAACTGTGCTTTAGTGTGGACAGTGTCTCAATGAATGTGAGTACTTGACTGTCCAGTTACTTCCTTCATCTTTAACAGACAGAAGCTGTCTTTCTTTCAGTTCTGAAGGGGTGCTCAGACAGACTCCTGAATCTGAAGTCAAACCAAAGGATAAAATGTTTATATATGCAAGTGTTATCATATGTTAACTAGTCCTCATGTGATAGCATACAATTTATTTCCTTTGATAAAACAACTGATTGTTAGTCTTTTTGTTAATAATCAGTCGTGTCCCTCCCGTGACCCTGCTGCCACCTCCTGGTAGAGACAAATACCGTCACTCTTTAACAAAAGACACAAAACAAATTGATAATAGCTCTTTAAATTTCTTTTTTAAAGAAAAGTGACCAGCATACTGTTTGTACTGAGCTTTACTAATGTCGACATACAACTCAACACCATTCTGACATTTCAGAGCTGAGGTGACATGCCCAGATCTTATGATGCCACACTTCACCACGCCAAAAAGCTCGTGACGATCCCAAATAAAGCCTCATAATGTCACACTTGTATCAGAGAGGGGGAAAAGTAGGCATTATTTAGATGACTTTCTGGCACACATTTCAAGCTGCTGCAAGTCACAAAGGTACTTGAAATATCCTTGCAACAAGTGGTTAGAGAAACCACAATTCAGGGTATTTTGGCTAAATGTGGATTTCAAATGGGAAGTTATTTCAATTTGAGATGTCACTGTTACAACCTGGACAGATAAACCAGATGAACACTGTACAATCTGTGGAGTTAAATTAACTTCTGCAAACCAAGGTGGGTCCCACAGTTTGAACTGCATTTGGAACCCTTTCTCTGTATGTAGTTTTCTGCATGGTACGCCCTCACAGATTGCAGGTTATTCCCAACACACTTGAAATGAGGCCTAATGGGCTAAACTCTTGGACTGTATTCAAATGACATCCTGTACATGTAACCAGACAAATGGCTGGAGGCTGGCAGGGAGAGTTCTCACTGACAATTGATTTGCATGTTGGCTCCAACAGAGAACTCACCGCTGCTATTACTGCTACTGCTGCTGCTGCTTGCTGTTCAAATGAAAGAGTCAATTTCATGCTCTGATGAGCCAACAGAGAGTTTTGAATAGTCAAAAATTGACATGCAGGCATAATTTAAGCCTTGTGGTGATAAACCCCTTTTCAGCGTTCGTTCCGAACAATATGAGAGCCTCTTTGCTTGCTGTAATGTCCTTATATTAACTCAACATCTGGAAGCTCCAGTAGCTCTAAATAGCATGGTTTCGCTAGAGTAACGGACAGCAAAACGTTTCAGGTTTTAGAATTGACATTCTGTACCCCTACAGCATGTGCAGACACAGTCCTAATGAGTGCAATACACTAATTCAAGAGTAATACATCACAGGCTGTACACAATCCATGACAGTAGGGTGCCAAATGGAATATCTTGTACTGGGCAGTTGAGGGCAGATACGTGCTTTGTATACTATAATACACCCCTAGAGTTCAACCACAAACTCTTTTTGGTTAATAAAATAAAAGACTACAAATGATTGTATATTGTACTGTATGTTTTACACTTTTATTTGTGTTATAAGATGATAAATAAGGAGGAAAAATAGAAAATAAAAGAGCAGCTGTGCCGTAACATTTACTAACTATTGACTAACGTTAACATGTTGATATTGCTTATCAGGGCATTCTAGAAACACTGGATGTCTGTGATAGCCAGACTCGAGCAGTGACTCACTACAGAGTCACCTGGACAGCTGTGAGTCCAAAGTCCATGACATCCTCAATCAGCCTGCCTTACTCTAATTGATGTTTTTCCAATTCAGCTTATTTTGTTGCAAATCTGATCAATTAATTTCAAATCCTTATCAAGATTTTTGAATGGCCAAGCTCTGGCCTTCATATGAGCAGGAGCTTGCACACTGATTTAGTGATTGTTCAGATACAGTGGGCAGTTTGAAAAGCGCTTTAGTCATGAAACAGGAGCATGTGGCTTTAGAGACACTTACACCACTGAGTCGATCTAGTGAATCGATTTGTTGTTGGCTGCCCTGCAGGCATGTCTGCATAAAGATTATTATAGCTTTTTAAAGCTCTCCTCCAGATGAAGTATAAAGTATTGATTCCAGTTTTTGTTCTTCCTTCAGGATCACTGCTTCTACCATGGCCATGTAAGAGGACATCCAGAGTCCTGGGTAGCTCTCAGCACATGCTCAGGAGTCAGGTACAGTCAACAGCTCAAGATTTACTTCTTCACAGTGTGTTTGTGTTAATTAGGTTATCGATTTTAGATTCTGAAGTCATGTGGATGTGTTATGAATATTATTGCAACAGCACCAAATATATCAAGAAAGAAAGTCCCTGTATTTTGCTAGATCTGAAGACAACCGCACCAGCTGTCTGTTCTTTCAAACCTGGCCTGATTATAACATAAGTATTATATTGGAAATGTATTTATTACTAAATAAAAACTAGTCTTTATGTTGTGAAATCAGTTATCAGATAATTATAAGTAACAGGCAACAGGTCACGTATAGTACAAACATGGTATAATTGATTTAAGTAGCATGCTGATACAGCAGGCGAGCCATGTGGTTGGTCGAAGGGTAATGATAGAGAATGTGGTTGACATTTAAAAGGAAGTGAAGCTAAAAGGGAAATTGGGAACTCAGGAAGAGTTTGAATTCCATTTCAGAAAAATAACACAGTATAGCTGAGATTACAAAACATTATGCCAGTGATTACTGGTTAATCATGGGACAAAGTTGAAGACTAGCTGAAACTTACAAAGACTGTACAAACTATACATTTTCTGTTGACGTCCATTTAAGTTTTTTAATTTATGGTGTTATTACTCTTCCTAAGTTTGTATATATGCTCATTGCCTTATTTCTTTTTATATGACACACTGCCATTCTGCTCTTGAAAGGGGCCATATACAGTAAATAAAGGTAGTTTACATAAACATAAAGATTCTTTTCACCAACTTGCACATTTTCTATTCTTTTACAGTCAGAAAGTAGCATTTACCTGATGGCTGAGTACTGTAAATGTAATAGACAACACACAGAACCAGTGGTCAAAAACAACTTAAGTTGTGGTTGGCAGGTGTCCCCACAAGACTCAGTAAAACTTGGTCCCATTAACGTGTCCCACTCTAATGTTTCCCACTCATTCAAACTACTGTAAATAATTATTTCTGCAAAACATATTTTTCCTCTTATGGGCAAAAAATAATTAAAAGTCACATTTACTTTTTCAAAGGATTGTCGGGTGGGTATTTCATAAACACCCCTGAACATTTTTGCTGCTGATTTTCTGGTGCTAAACAGTGAAATTATGTGTTTGTATTTATTAGGGAGTTACAGTGGGGATTTGCAAAAACAGAACAAAAGCGGCACCGTAGGAATTTACGTATTTGGTCTCATGCAATATGTATTTAAGGCATTCCCGTTCAGGGAGGAGAGAATGGAAATTTATAGAAGTGTATACATTCTGCTTCTTGCAAGGGAAACATTGAATTCCTAAGCAATAAAACACACCCTTGTTTTGCTGCTACAGGTTTGTATGATAAGCTGGGACCAGTAGGTTATGGTGGCTAATGTTAGCTAATATTAGTGAACTTTAGGGGATTTATCCTGTGGACACATGGACACTGTTTATTTATTTTCATGTTAAAAAAAATCTCATTGCACAGACTTTGTCACGGTTTGGACCATCGCTTCCTGGTTTTTTGTTATTTCTTTCCCCTGCCTTTCCTACCACATTCTCAGCCAGCACTTCATCCACCTGCCGCTCATTACCTCCCGGTTCAGCTCCCTATATCTACGCCCCTTTTCCATTTGTTCCCTGCTGGTTCATGGTTGATTCCGACACTCACCCAATTGCTTACGATCACATGTTTCATCACCTACCCGTCATACTGGCCCTACTGCTTCATGATCGTCTGTTTGGCTTGAGCTGCAGACCTTGCCTCCTGCCTATGATTTCCTCACTGAGTAAGCGACACACCTGCTACTTCTCTACTCCTCAGGCGGTCCGTGTATGTGGAAGACAGATCCATCATGTTCTCCCGCTGAGTAAGCTACTCACCTGCTACTTACCTGTACCTCCTGTGTGTGAACGACCTACGCTTCACGTTCCCACACTCATGCTTACCAGCTGCTACTACTTACCGACCGCCTCTGCTCCAGAGCTGCTCGGCTGTCCCCTACCTGATCATCCTGTTCCCTGGGACTCTTCTCCACACTTGAACTAAGTAATATCTCGATTGCATATTACGTGGCCCTCCTGGGATATAGTAGTGACCTCCCTCCTCTGACTGCTCCTCTAGTGTCTGGCCTTCTTCCTGTCATTTGTTCCCTGTCCTCCTGAGACCTGCAGTGTTAAGAGCCGGCTCACATCTACTGCCCATTCCAGTCTCTGTGGCCTCTACTCCTCTACTTCCAGTCTTCCACTGTCCACCAGCACCGGGTTCCTCTTCCATATGCTCCCAACTCACCTCAGCCTTCATCTGCCTTTGTTCCCCTCTCTCCTCCTCCCAGTAACCGGTGCCTTATTTCTTCAATAAACTCCTTTTATGTTTCAATCAGTGTGAGTCTGCATATTGGATCCACTAGCATACGTGCTCCATGTGACAGCTTTAATGTTCACCACTGAGCCTGGAATTTGCCCACAACATAGTTTGATTAAGTTTTGTCCAGGGCACTTTCCTCCTTATTCAGATTGTCATGAAAATGACTAATTTGATCCTCTTTGGGAATCCAGGCAGGAGTTTTAAGACTTAAATGATCACAGCCGCAGCCAGATTTTAATGTGGACCAGCCTCCATATTGAAGGTTCTGACTGAAACATTCCCTGACAAAGATGCTGCACATCCTCAGGTATATTCAAAAATATATTCATGAATTTGATGCAATAAAAGAGACATCAAGTTACACCTCAGTGTGGTTTTAGTAGGAACTGATACAAAAGCATGTTCAGTAAATCTAACTAGATAGGAGTTTGAGGAAGAGGCTGATAGTGACTAGTTCAGTGCTGACATTTCCATTGGCACATTTCAGTCCCTGTATTCTGATCAGGGATGAAAAGCCAGATGCTGCTTGTTGACAGCAGCTTTGATGGGAACAGAGCAGATGTGGCAGAGAATAGAGATATGTATGTAAGCCAGCAGAATGCAAATGCCTTTTAAATGTCCAGTCAATCACAGGGCTCAGCAAATGTGAGCCAAACAATACAGGTTTATTCCTAGGCTAAAAAAAACAACCTGAATTACACTGGCTTTAGTAATCATACAGTGCCCACTGACTTCATGCACATTAGTTGTAGTGTTAATATTAAATGGATAAAACTGCCATTCTCCTACAGTCTACACTCAATAAACCATAATACAGTGAAAACATTTTAGGCTAGTGGTTAAGGCGCAGCGCTCTCGCCGCGGCACTCCGGGTTTCGAATCCAGGTTGCGTCAGGAAGGGCATCCGGCGTAAAACACGTGCCTAATGTCAACATGCGAGTCGTCAGTGTGATGATTCGCTGTGGCGACCCCCTAAATGGGAAAAGCCGGAAGGGACTTTCTTTTTACAGTGAAAACATTTTTAAAAAATTTTGTGAGTTTATTAAATATCAAAACTTCAGTTACAAAAGTATTTAGACCCTTTGCTGTTGAATTCTAAATTGTCAGGTGCAACCTGTTTGCTGTCCATCTGTGGCAAATTGAATCAACTGGACATATTTTAGAAAGACACACACTTATGTATATAAGGTCCCAGAATTCACACTGCATGTCCAGACAAAAACCAGGCCATGACATCCAAGGAACTGTCTGTATACTTCCACCATAAAACAATGGTGAGGCACAGATTAGGACAAGGGTATAAAACCATTTCTAAAGCTTTGAGCATTCCCAGCAACACAGTGACCTCAATAATTGTGCAAATGTTTTCACCTTTGTTATGTTATTCAGCATTATTCTGATAAATTCCATACTCTTTTGAATAAGAGACTAAATTACTAAGCCCATAAAACAAGTTACATTTTGGCTATCAGTATTAATCCTTCATCCTTCATTAAAATCAAATAAGCTTTAAATCCTACATCAGCATACACTGCATGCAACAAGGAATGATGGTCTTCTCATACTTGCATCTCCTCCCTCTTCTCATTTTGTGTGTTCCTCACAGTCTCACAAATGATTAACACACAGAGTAATTTTAAAGTGCTGACTGACCTTTGCTTTCCTTGCAATTTGTGGTGATCACAGAATCAAAGCTTCCTCTATTATTATACCTCATTATAAATCACTCCTGGTCAAAAGCCTCAACTAAATCTCTGAATTGTAAATGTTATTTTAAGAGCTAGAGTAATGGCACCCTGCACAGAAAATGATAATGTCAGACAGACAAACAAATAAAAACAAATAAAATTAGCAGAAGGATGAAAGAGATTTGGTGTGGCTCAGCAGGGAAACAGCAGTGAGGTGTTTGTTTGGCAGAAAGCCGTAATGAAAATTCTGTGAAGGGGTCACGTTGAACTATTTTTCTGATAAATTGTGACCTAACTTCATCTTTTCCAATGCAACAGTGACTCATCAGCACCCACTGATAGCATTAAAGGTGAAATGTGTAACAATGCATTTGAAAATCCAGATAGCACTAGCATGAAACACTGCACTCACTCGTTTCTGATCTGCTCTGCCCTCCATCTCCCTGCTTGCTCCATGATCCAGCTGGGCCACCGTGACTACCAGTCGCAGTGTCACAGTTTGGAGAGAAATTCAGAAAGTTAGCATTCAACTGGTGGCCATTAAAATAGTGTAACTCACCAGGTTGAATGCCCTGCTTCATGTCTACTGTAAACATAACTGTACAACTTTCACTAGACAGACGCAGCACATTTACAGCCAGCGCAGTTTATGAACATCGGCAGACAAAGAACAAGTGTTCTTTCTCAAGGGGGATTTGTTGGGTTTTCCTCTGTAATAATAGTGATAGTAGTAAGGTCTAGGCCTTTCTTTGTAAAGTGACCTGAGATGACTTATGTTGTGATTTGGCGCTATATAAATAAAATTTGAATTTGAATTTTGAATTTCTCTGCCAAAACTTCACCGCTCTCATCATATCCAGGACATGTGCTGTTCAAAAACATGTCTGAAATTGAATAAAACACACTGAGTGTAGCTACATCTGAAGATGGAGACACATATGACATATGACATGACATGACTATCACCGCAGCTGCAGCAGGTGCCAAACCGGGGTGACGAGAGCCAGACTCCTGGGGCAAAATGGCCACGTTAGAGGAGACTACAACACATTCAACTGGCAAACATCAAAATACTGTAATTCATGGACACACATTGATTTGACATCAGTGGCAGACCAGTCAGTGGCTTGTGTATGAACTTGCCTGGATATAACTGGCTGATTCTTATGACTGAAAGTAGCAGCACAGTGACGTCCTTAGCTTAGCCAGCAGCAGTTACAGTCACACTGGCAGTGCAAATGACACATTCTGGCACGATTTGGCTACAAGTACAAAGGCCAATGGTTTGAATCCTTATTTTACTGCTATAAATAATAAATTCACAAAATATAAGTCCATCAGGAAGAATGGCAAATCAGCGTCAGTTTGTAGTTCCCTCTGAAAGCCTTGCTGGTAGAATGTTAGGATCTAAATCCAACTGTGTTGGTTTTTTAATTCCTTCTCTTCAAAACTCATTTCTTGACCTTTTTCATGTAGTTGTCTCAGCTAACACTGAAATCAGTAGCTTGCTAGCTTGCGACCATGTCAACACAGCCTACAGTGCATTCGTATTTTGATTGACAGCCATGAGCACCCACCCCTGATGTTGGCCTTCTCTGATCGGTTACTTTTAGAAGGGACTATCTCTGCACTGCTGCCAGGCTGTTTGATGGGTCTGGGGTCACAGGGGCCTTTGACAGCAACTCTCCCCATTAAGATAGGTTTTGGGAGATGTTTCTACAAAAAACATATTTGAAAACTACTACACATTGTAGCTTTAAATAATCATAGTCTCACAATAACCTGGATTTTAATGATGAGTTGAGAAAATCAAAAGTTCTCTGATTATATTCCTGGTACATATAGTATTTGTGCATGATAAAGCAGTTCAAACCTTGATGAGACTATTTATGCACTCCAACTGCAGCACTGTATGAAATACCACCATCATTTTCTTATGATTTGAGGCTTTCCTTTGGAACAGCCAAACTGCATGACCCTGCAGTACTCACATGGAACTGATGATTATGCAAAAGAAAAATCCCCTGATTGCAAAAACTGCCAGTTAACCAGAGGCCCCTGCTTGATCACAACTTTTCATTCAGGTTTCAGTATTGACCTTCTTTCTTCTTATTGACAGTCCTCCAGCAGTCCTGTGTTTTCCTTTTCAGTCCTGCGCCACAGTTCCCAGCTCATTTTCCCTGCTGGCAACTTTCATGACATAATAAGGTGTTTTGTATTGACTCGGGATGAATTACATGTTTTTTTGGGCAAATTGTTAAACGGCCTTGGACACATAATTACCTAAGAAAAGAGAAAGCATGCTGTATTTCTTAAAAAGCATTGCTCAGAACTCAGTTGTGCACATATGGCCAGGCAACGTGGAGGAGCGCAATAGCCACAGTACTCCTTTCACAAAAACCAATTGATTCCCTTAGTGCCGGTTGTGAAATAAATAGCAGCTCAGACAAAATGTTCGCCAAGCGAAACATTTTGTATGGAACCTTCAAATGCATATTGAGGAGATCGTGCACGAGCCAGTATTTTTCACGGTCAAGACAAAAATTGTTAGCCCTGCGATGGATTGGCGACCTGTCCAGGGTGTACCCCGCCTTCGCCCGATTGCTGGCCAGGATTGGCTCCGGCCCCCCCCGTGACCTCGTTCAGGGACTAAGCGGTAGAAAATGAATGAATGAATGAAGACAGAAATTGATATTCAAGAAAGCTTACACAATTTTAAGACATTTTAGAAAAAGAAACATGAATATCAACATTATGTACACGGTATCTTTATAACTGCACACTGCAATTTTAAAGTGTAATAAAACATGTATGCATGTATAAAGTGATTATGCAAATCTCTCAAGTAGTTTTAAATTATTTTAGTGTCTTTATATTGGTATAATGTTTTTAATCTGTGACAAAAACTATGTAGAGTATAAACAGGTTAATAATAGGGTTTTTATCATTTCTTGTTATTTATTGGCCAGTGATGTTGGATGGTAAGGCCTGGTTTGCAGGTACCATGTCTGGCTATTAACTCTCAGTAACGAGTTACATGTAATTAAATTGGAAAATAAAATTGTAACCGGTTATAGTTACTCAGAAATTATGTAATTAAAATACAGTTACAAAAACAAAATATTGGTGATTGCAAATGGGTTATAACTGAATATATTCTTTTTGGTAGACAGCTTAGATTTTAATATAAATTCTGCTGTTCTGCATTTGTTGTCATGCATGAATGCCTTCTTTTGTCATATTTCTGGTCAGTGCGGGTCAGCAAAGCTGCTGGGACAAATTTGAGTGCAACATCATCAAGGCTACGATAGCTTACAAGCAGCTGTCTCCATGGGTCCTGTTTTTCTACCAGTGGCTTCTGTCGCAGTCCTTATGCGGTTTTCCTCAGGCACATTTGTGTGTTTGGTATTTTCCTGCCATGAATGAATGTACTTATGCTGAGGTGGGAGGAGAGGCGCAGCTGAGACGGTCGGTATTCTAATTAGGCAGTGCAGTGCGATTTGGTGCACGTTTTGACCCAAAATAGCGAAAACAATAACACCTGCTCTGCCAGTATTCACTCTGATTTATTATGTATCATGAAATATGTATGTTAATTTAGAAAGATTATTTTTAAAAAGGATAAACTATTCCTTGGTATGTGGCTATAGAGATGAATGTGGTCAAACAGCATTGGTGCGCATCAGGACGCACCATCTGTAGCCTACTTATAATCTGCAGCCAGTGTCTGAATCCAAATGCATGTTAATACATTACACATAATAACACGTGAGAGCAGTTCATAAGCCAAGATAAATAACAAACACCTTCCAGACGTCTCCATTAATCCAGCAGGTAAAGTCAGCCCGACCTCACTGTGGCTGCTGTCACTGCTAAGTTACAGTCTCTTCGAGTGAACAAGTTTCACACAGACATACCTTTGTTACTACTGTGGGATATACTGTACATTGTGTGTGTTTTTGCCTTTTATAGCTGCTTCATCAGCTGTGAAAGCAGCTGTAGGTGGAGATAAAGCGGGCGACACGTCCACAGGCTGTGAGTTCTGGAGGACCACGATCAGTTTGACCACAAACGCTGTGATTACAATATGATTGTGTTATTTTAAAGAGTGAAATGATTATAAAGTTACATGCGAGATCCCTGTGGATTTCACATACTGGGTGCAGCTGTGAGTAAAATACACTATATAATTGCTGCTGATTACAGGACCAGAGACTTTTTTTCTATCACAAAAACATTTTTTTTAACCCTTGAACTTAACAAGAAAAGCCCATTATTGCTTTTTGCCATCTTCTACATTCTCTCTTTCCTGTCTTTCTTTTTTCACTCAGGGGCCTGATATCCTTGAATTCTAGTGACACCTACTACCTTGAGCCAATCAGTGACATGGATCCTCTCCACCATTCACTGCTGAATGCTGAGGAACTGCCAATTAAAGGAGGAAACTGCGGCCATGGCCATCACACCACAGAGTCCAACCACATCTCTGACCTGCTCAGGCCATTTCATTCAAGGGTGAGTTTCCCAGATACAGATTGGCCAGAGAATAAGACTAGTCTAGAGCATGTTGTTTTCTTGATATACTATAAAATGAAGTAATACTAGGAACAGTCAACCAGAAATACATTTGTTTTCTGTCTTGCCTGGATACAGATGAGAAAATCAATAACAATTTCATTTCTATGTGTCCAAAGACAAATAAGTGTATTTCTCAAAATCTGGGTCTGTTCCCAAAGCATCTGAAAAATGATACCCATTTGAAGTAGACAGCCTTGTACCAACATTTCATCAAAGGATGTGATGTCACTGTGATACAAAGAAAATCCATATTTCTCTCCAGGTGCTAGTTTTTGTGGACCAGGGTTAATTTGATAATTATGTTTCAGTCAATCAAATTATTGATGCATCAGACGCCTGAGCAGAGAGGTCTTCCAGTGCAGTGCACGAGGATTGTAGTTAACATATTCAGGGATGTCACTTTGAAAAACCTTTAATGAAACCTGTCTGACTTGGCCTTAAGGGAGCTGTTAACTCATTGAAGCCTTTCATTAGTCTGGCCTCCAGTGCAGATTTCCCTCTCCTGTAATGGTTTGTTAAAAAATAGTTAATGTAAAAAAGGAACCTACTTGAGATAAGTGAAAATTTATTGAGTGGACCTTATGTAACTTTCAGCAGTAGTGTGGCTATTAAAAGGCAATAACAGGATGATAAATGCTAAAATATAGAAAGTAGAAAGTTGATGTAAAGTGGTGATTTTAATCATTCAATCAAATCAGTTACACAGCGTCTTTCGTAGCTAAAGCTTGCTAGCATTAGCCACCATAGACTACAGGTCAACAGTGCATTTTGTTGCATGCACATTCAATGTTTAATTTGTAAATGAATATGTTATTTGCTTTCAGAAAGTTACAGCGTCTAACTTTAACCAACCAGATAATACTTAGACTTAGAAAAAACCAACAGAATGTTCAGAACCAAACCAGAGCAAAGCCTGCAAGCCAGTTCAGCAAAACAATTAGAGTCACTGATGCACAAAGAATCATACAGTCTCCAGAACATCTAGTATGGCCTTCTACTGCTTTCTTGTGAAGCAGTTTTACGCACTCCTCATCACCACTTTCAGGCAGTTCTTGACAGGTAGTGTCAAGTATGACACCACCAGAAATTGATTTCATATTCATGCATCTGTAACACCATTCCACGTGAGTTGGCTGACTCAAATAGCCATGGTTAGCGCAAATGTTCCCTCCTCAACAGCAGCACAAACATACATACAAAAGATCAATACCCATAGCCCAGTGTTCAATGTGTGGGATCTTCACAGGTCGTCACAGCCTTTCAGTGGGACCATTCAAGCTTTGTGGTGTAAAGAAACCCATGTTCACGTTGACTGCACTGAGAAGGACAAAAATAGAGTAGTTATAATGTATTTACTACCTTTAATGTGATGGACTGAGTCATAATTTTTGTTAGTTTTTTGGTTTTATTACACAGCTAAATAAAATCACCAATCTTGTGAGAACACTGAAAATTGTCTAAGTCATATGCAAACAGATCTCTGGCTGCCAAAATGACTCTCACACTACCTGAAAATGAAGGGAATTATAGCTTTTCAGGTTGGTTTAGGCCATGGCTATAAGTTGATTTATTGTGCCTTGACAGAGAAGAAGTTTGCTGTTTTGCATTTATATATAATAAAAAAAATCAGTTGGTGCCTCTGCCTTCATTTGTCTCCACTGTTGGGACAAACATTCTTTGGTGTTATTGCTTCTCATACTGTGCATATTCCCATAATTATAATGTTCCAATTTACATTCTTAATCACTTTAAACTGTTTTCATCTTTCTCTGCTCCTCATATCCTCAATCCTTCTTAGCAACCCACCTGGGCATCATCCTTTTCCCCTATTCCTTTATCTTCCTCCCTCTTGCACCATACCCCTTGGCTCACCCAATTCCCTCCACAGCCACCCATTAATCTTGGGTTGTTATGCAGAAATGCCAGCCACAGCAGACCCCAGACTGAGTCCCAAGGCTTTTGCCACTGTTTGGCTCAAACATTATGGTGTGTGAATACATTAGTGTGAATATGTGTGTACTAAGCTGCACAGTGCCACAGATCCTCTGCTGATCCACGTTGCTGATGCATAGTCCAGACTGAGCCACTGTAGCAGACCCTTGCATGTAAATCAGTGAGATTTAATTGCAGCAAAGCCTTTCCTTAATGGCTGTAATCAAGTATTAAGGTTGGAAGCATAATGATGGAGGGATATAAAGAGTCAGAAAGCTTTGTAAACACAACAGCATGGATCGCAGGGGGGCTACTCATACATACACATCTTTTTACCCTGCTGACATGAAGAGGTGTTTCTTGTTTTGTTTCGCAATCTTACAATGGCATTTCCCTGTAAGTGTGTTTTTGGCCGTGTGGAAAAGCCTCTGCAGTATGAAGACCACAGGAGACTGAAAAAACATAGTGAATTACTGTATGTTATTGTTATTTATGTGTTTTGTGTCATTTACAGTTTCTGGTCTTATTGTATTTTAATTCAATTTAAATTTCATCAATGGGGAAATGAGTTCCCGAAATGACCGAGGTATCCTACTGGATAATGTCAGAGCGGCTGTCCATCAGCTGAAGCTCAGTATACTGTCAGTTGGGTAGTGCAGCAGGACAATGACTCTAAACATCAAAGTAAATCTACTGCAGAATGACTTCAAACAGAGAAAATCCACCTTTTTGAGTGGCCCAGTCAGAGCCCAGACCTCAACCCAATACACATCCTATGGAATGAGCTCAGAGAGCCGTTCACACCACACATCCTAAAAATATGCCTGAGCTGAAACAGTTGTGTGAGGAAGAATGGTCCTGTAGCTGATCTGATTACAGCTGCCAAAGGACATTCAACCTGTTATTAAATTGAAGGGTTTGCTTACTTTTTTCACCAGCACTGTGAATATTTAATGAACGTTCTATAAAGACAGGAATGATAATTGTGATAATAGCTTAAGCGCATTGTGTTTGTCTAAAGTTGTGACATAGATGAAGATCAGATCACGTTTTATGATCAATTAATGCTGACAACCAGATTCACATATCTTTCCTGCCACTGTATTTATAGATTGTTTCCACCCCAAATAAAAACCTATAAATTCACTTAAAAATGAAGGTTTTGACTAAGTGTCTCACTTGTGTCTGAGGAAAGGCCCAGACTAGCAGGCTTCAAAAACCCAGGCTATATATCATAGGTGGTTTATAGTATACAGTATTGTAGTATAGCAAACCAGTAACAACTGATTCCCCCCAGTAACCATGTACACATCTTTTTTTTTGTCTTTGTCAGGTTAAAAGAAACACCTGGGGTACTACCAAGTACTTGGAGCTGTACATTGTGGCTGACAACACACTGGTAAGCTGACAATAGCTCTCCATCTACTTTATCTATTTTACAGCTAAATATTTTCTACAGTACGTCAACGTAAGCGACGCAATTATCCACTGACATCAGCCCTCAAATAACGAGGACAGAAACAGGGACCACATCTTGAACAATTATCTCATTCCAGCCAATGGAGATACTGAGTGTTCCGAGCTGATATACTGTAGTCATGGCAAGACAAAAGCATGTGAGGACATGGCAGAAAGATTTGTCTGCCTAATGATGGAGGGTAATCAGGTGGATACTAAATTTGGTAAAGCTTCTAAATAGACACTAAGCTGCAACAATGAGCTATGCCAGTATCTACAGCTAATATGCTGTATCCGACTAATAATTGGTATAATTATGATGATGGACTGTGGTAGAATTGGTAAAGCAGGTCTGTTTGGGTTATAGTGTGTTTTCATGGGTCATTAGTTCCTGCTGGGAACTTTAGAAAGAATTGTCTCTACCATTCTATTTATGTTTCTGACCGTGAACCTCGAAGATGCCACTTATACTCCCCCATCTTCCCTGTCCTGCAGTTTAAACGACAGAAGGACTATGAAAAAACCAAGACAAGGATAATGGAAATTGCCAATTACGTGGATAAGGTAAGGCTGATGGACTCTCTCTCTGCTGACTGCAGTTCTCCAGAGAACAAACAGCTCCATTCACCAAGCTAAAAGATAGTAGTACAGACATCCTCTATCATGTTGTCATCTCTTAATCTACTTTAAATTTATTGTCTTTGATTCTAAATACTGTATATGAGTGAATGAAGAGTGTACACAACATGTTCTGTCATATGCCTCATCAGAAGTTAATCAATGGTGTCTCTGAACAGCCCTTTAGTGTCAAGTTTTGTGGTCTAAGTCAAGGTTATGACAAGGCAAACAAAGCAAGAGCTTGACAATGAACATAACCGACCCTAAGCAAGGGTACGGTGGACAAAATGCTAAATAGTTTGTGACAAGATTGTGGATTCTGAGTATGTGCATGACCATTTTTTGTGTGTTCAGTTCTACAGGGCTCTGAACATCCGTGTGCCCCTTATTGGTCTGGAGGTTTGGACCGACAGAGATCAGTGTATTGTCTCAGAGGAGCCGAATACCACCCTCTGGTCCTTCCTACAATGGAGGCAGAAGCTGAAATCCCGCAAGAAACATGACAACGCCCAGCTGCTCACGTGAGCATTAGATACATAGACACATAAACACACAGACACAATGTACACCAGTGATTACAAAGACGTCCACTGCACTCTTGCAGAAGATGCTGACTCTGTTTTCATTTATAGACATGTTACAGAAACAGTCAGCAACATAAAAATGGTCTAGACAGTGGGCTGATTGTCTCCTTAACAGGAGAAACAATGTTCAAAACTAAACACTGTAATTTTATGGAGAAACAATGTTCAAAACTAAACACTATAATTTTATCTCCACCAAGCAGATTATGTTTTTGGTTTTGTGTGTATTTGTTTGTTGGTTAGCAGGATTAAGGACAAAATCATTTTTTTGTTTAAATTCGACATGTGTATGTAGCGTGGCAATGTCTCTGACCTGGATTCTGGATCTGATGGCCATTTAAAATGAACACTGAAAACCCCATTTAACATATATTTTCTGCCATAACTTGGCCTGTAATGAAGACAGAAACCTGAAATGTTCAGATGAGATACACAGTCTAATCTACTGTAGCTATTGTTCCATAAAAGATGATCCAGATCCGAACTGGCTCAAGGATTTTAGAACACATTTTGTGTTGTTCTGGGTCTCATTTTTCACAAGGGACCCATTTGTGTGAGTGAATGTTGTGCCTTGATGGAGGTACATGCACTGGGTGCTCTTGTTATTGACTGCATACAATGTGTTAACTCGCACTACAGGACTCTGCTCACACTGCACATGATTGGGCTTGAAATTTGTCCTGAGTCTAAAATTAGTCATCACTGAATGAACCAAGGCTAAAATCAGGTTGAATCCATGCAGTGTCTGCTCAGCTTTAAGGGTGTTTTTAAGATCAAGATCAAAGATTTTTATTGTCAAATCTTTATATGTGCAGGACATACAGAAAATCGAAATATCATTTCTCTCTCACCTAATATTGGGTGCCATACCGTTAAGGAAACTAAAATAGAATAAAAGTAGAGTAAAAGTAGACTAAAAAGAATAAGAAAACTAAATCAAAGTGATTAGGATAAAACTAAATGGTACAACCTAATGGGCTATGACTCAAACCCTGTACAATCAGTGACAATAGTGCAAATAATAACAAGAAGATTGTCAGATGGTTGTGAGATTGAGATGCACATGGACAGTAGTGCAGATGACAGCAGCAGATACAGTATGATGGTAAAAACAGTCAAGCAGCAGATTTACATGTTATATAATAAGAAGGGGGGATGTACTGGGTTTGTGCAAAACAGCAGAGGTAGTCTTTTTATGTTCTGTGGTGGGTCACGGTCCAGGGGCACAGGGGGGGAGGTAATGGACAGCGTTCAGCATCCTCACAGCCTGGTGGATAAAGCTGCTTGTAAGTCTGGTGGAGTGGGCCTGAAGACTCCGATACCTTCTCCCTGAAGGCAGGAGTCTGAAGTGGGAGTGTGAAGGGTGGGAGGTGTCATCAGCAATTCTGATGGCTCTGTGGGTGTTGAAGATGTCTGTGAGGGAAGGCAGAGGTGCTTGCTGGCTGTTTTCACTATGCATTGCAGGGTCCTTCTGCAGGAGGCAGTACAGCCTCCGTACCACACAGTGATGCAGCCAGTGATGACGCTCTCAATGGCGCCCGGGTAGAAGGAGCACATGATGGGGGGTGGGGCACTGGCTCTCCTCAGTTTGCGGAGAGCTCAGTTTGAGCCTTCTTGGCCAGTGTTGTGATGTTGTTGGTCCAGGAGAGGTCCTCAGACATGTGCACCCCCAGGAACTTGGTACTGCTCACTCTCTCCACTACAGCACCGTCGATGGTCAGTGGGGGATGCTTTAGAGGTTTTCTCCTGAAGTCCACAACGATCTCTTTAGTCTTCCCCACATCGAGGAAGAGGTTGTTGTTCTTATACCACTGTTCCAGTTGGCACACCTCACTCCTGTAGTTGGATTAGAGAGATTTTGAGTCCCAAGTGTCCAGGTTTTTGTATGAGCTGCTGGGGAATTGTTGTGTTGAATGCTGAACTGAAGTCTAGGAACAGCATTCGCACATAAAAGTTCTTTGAATCCAGGTGGGTGAGGGCTGGATGGAGAACAGCAGTAATGGCATCCTCTGTGGACCTGTTTGACCCCTCAAAACATGTTCTTGAGTTTTACGACCTGTTTATGTACAAAATCTAATATATGATATCTAAGCACATCAAAGACTGCTAAAAGTCCTGGAGCCTAATAAGTAATGACTCTTTATTTAGATATTTAAAAAAAAACTGTAGAGAAACTCCTTTCGGCAGTAATTCACTGCAGCCAAACAGAGGATCTCTCTCTGCCCTCCTGATGTTATTTCACAGTGTCTATCAGTTGATAACTCCATATCATCCTACATATACCTTCTAGCCCCTGATGAACCTCTGTGTGACTGCCATGACATACACACTCGCCCCTGAGAGTTAGATAATCTCATATTTAATTTGTGTATAAATCGACAAATGATTAGTTAAACCAGGATTTTATTCAGTGAAAGATCTCTCTTTAGTCAGCTGTAATTGGGCCAAACAACTCAGCATGCTGGCAGTAGCAGCATGGCAGCTTGACTGCCGACGTACACACACACAGACACACTTTTGTACATTCACCCATAAGCAGTAAATTGTTGGCCCTTCTGATACCACAGGGCTTATTTTGTTTAGATTTATCTGACAGGGATTGATTTAGTTTTTGGATGCTAAGTGACAACTGCCAGGAGACCACATAGTCGATTGAGGTTGCACGAATCCCCTTTCCCACATTTCACAGGCTTATCATGTCTGCCACTGTGCATTGCAGGTGCATCTGCAATCAGTGTGCATCCACTGTGGAGCCCGTAAGTGAACAGGGAAGAGATTAAGGTTAAGTGATTTTTCATTCTGTGTGTGTTTGTGTGTATTTGTCATAGCGGTGTGATTTTCAAGGGGACCACTATCGGGATGGCACCACTGGAAGGAATGTGCAGCTTGGAAAACTCTGGAGGCATCAACGTGGTACGTGGGAGAACATTTCTCCTCTTTTCCTATTCATAGATGGACAGACACTTGTTCACTATTCTATGCTAAGTAAACCATCGTCGCCACTGTCATCGAATTGTTCTGACTTTTTGTTGATTTGAATAAGGGGGACTTGCACAGCTGGTGTTTTTTGTTGTGGCTGTTGTGTGTCAGAATGCTAGCATGTACTAATTAGCCATAAACACAAAGTACAACTAAGGCTGCTTTGCTGAGTTTTTGACAATTAAGACTTAATGAATAATGCATTTTTTCCAAACCTAAACTTTGATTGTCAATAATTCAGTCATTCTTTATACTGTATAACAGAGTATTTGTACACTGTGGTATTGCTACTTTTACTTAAGCTAACGATCTCAGTACTTGTTCCACCACTGGCTATTGTACCTAAACCAGGAACATTGTAAATCTAAAGGACTAACTTCATTGGTCATTAGTGTCTCTGTCTCTCCCTGTCAGATCTTCACTCTTTCTCTCTACCCTTTGCTGGCCTTATTACACCACTTGAATACTGTACAGTATGTGTTCAGAATACATTTGCTCAGGTTTTCAGTGCCCGAAACTGTGTGTGACACAGTGAGTTAGGATCATTTGCCTCTTGCAGTACCACTCAACTGTGTCTAATATGGTCCCATTTGATAATTGAGAGTGTTTAATATTCAGATTAATTTTACACCTGCACTCAGTAGATTTTAACTGGTTTCTGGCAAAGAGGCTGAAACAAAAGTAAAAAAAACAATTATCCAAACTGAATTGACTGAATATCCTTACTGAACATCTCTGATGAGCAGTCACCAGCCACATCAACCTGATCAGTGTTTGATTGTTGTGTCTTGTTGCTTTTCTTTCTTTTGTCTCTCCTCTATCCACTCACCCCAACCAGTCGAGGCAGAAGGCCGCCCACCAAGAGCCGGGGTCTGTCGGAGGTTTCTTCCGTTAAAGGGAGTTTTTCCTCCCCACTGTCGCCAAGTGCTTGCTCAAGGGGGATTTGTTGGGTTTTCCTCTATAATAATAATACTGATAACAGTAAGGTCTAGACCTCACTTTGTAAAGTGTCCTGAGAGGACTTTTGTTGTGATTTGGGGCTATACAAATAAAATTTGATTGATTGATTGATTAAATTGAGCCACTGGCGCCACAGTTAGAGTTGGAATACACTATCCATCTGAGTCAGCAGGACTCCTGGTCCTGCTGGAGCTTCTGCACACTGCTGAGGTGCAATGTACTGACTGTCTGTTTCTGGTTTTGTATTTTGGTTGTTACAAAGTATGTCATAATATACTCAAGCATCTCTTGTTAATATGCAGTTGCTCTTTTAGTTGACTGACCAACATTGTGGTTGCCTGCCACTTTAAAATATCAGCTCTCTAGTATTATTCAGGCTGTGTAACTGTCTACTCTTAAGTGTGCAGTAGTTTATTGAATGGACATAGCTGGCGAGATCGATAGCGCTTCCAAGCTTGATTATCTTTTAAGAGGCTGTGAGCTCTCCCATGGGCAGAGTTGGCCTGTAGAATCCAAATACCTTGTGGCTGATTGAGCTGTGGAGTCATGGCTCACCACTGCAGAAGCAGCACACAAACTTTACACACACATTATCTCTGCGGTTTGGCCCTCAGAGCATTAATGTGGAGGATTTCACGGCAGAACATCAGCATTTTCTGACAGTTAGCACATCCCAGTTTTATACAGTATGCATAATTCAGAAGGAGAGCTACAAGTGAATGACAGCTTTCAGTGGATCAAAGAAGAGCTAAAAACATCTGAACACAACTTTGTGTGTTCATGCAGTTTTATGCTTTGAGGGTTTTTTTTCTTTTGGAACTAGAACATTGTAGAATAGTGGTTTCTAACTTCTTCACGAGTTTCATTTCAATTTAACAATCTGTTTTCTTTTTCATGTACTGATTATTTGCATTACCTGACACTTCTGGACCCACTTTAGTTTTTTGGCAGTGTGTTCCACTGTCAAGTAGCCATTTAAAACTTGTCCTAATGTGGAGAGGTGCTGTCGAAGCCTCCTCTGACCCAGACTCATTGAACAGCACTGGCAGCAGTGCAGACATATTAGCTTTTATAAGGTTTGAGTAGGATTGACCTCGCTGACCTGTCAGAGATTTTCAGTTATTTCTACTTGTGCAGTAAGTGCTGTTGCATTCTCATCTCATGTAATTTCATAACGACAAATATCTGAAGATCTCAGCAGAGCGTGGTGGAGTGTAGTAGAGCATAGTGGAGCAGGGAGAGGGTGTGCTAGGGACCTTTTATCATCAGGTAGTTTTTCTTTTTTTGTCAAAAAAATCTTTATTACCAAATATTGCAAATAATGTCAAAATTACAATTATATCTACAGTGCATTCCCATTAGCTTTAGTTGTACTTTGTTTTTAGTGCTAATTAGCAAATGATAGCTTTCTAACATGATAAACTAAGAATATGAAACACATTATGCCTTTGCCAACTGTACAATTCATCATCATGTTAAAATTGTCATTGGGCATATTAGCACGCCAACTTTAGCATGTTGCTCAAAGTGCCACCGGACCTACTGACAACCTCAGAGTTCATGGCACAACTATAACAGCCACAGTCTTTCATTCCCATGAAGCATGATGGTAACACAGTGGTATTTGTGGGTGCCAACCCTAAGATTTCTGTGACGTTTATTTAGATTTTTTTCCACTACAGCCTTCCTAATAGCTTGTGCAAATCCCATTATCCCTGGACTTCCTTATCCGAGGTTTAATGGTTGTAGTTTTGTGACCTTAGGTAATAATCATCAGTCTTTGTCAAACATGATAGAGGGTTAATTAGGCTTTCACATGTAAAAGTCATCCAATATGGTGCTGACATATGTATAAATGAGACCTCCCTCTAATTGCCCCACAGGACCACTCAGACCTGTCCATTGGCGCAGCGGCCACTATGGCCCATGAGATCGGCCACAATTTTGGTATGAGCCACGACCACGATGGCTGCTGTGTAGAGGCCACTGCTGAGCAGGGAGGGTGCGTGATGGCTGCTGCTACCGGGTGAGCCTCAGGCTTCAGCACAAACCTGCTCAGATGCTGTTGCTAACAGCTAAACATACTATATGAATAAGAATTTCATCAGCCCAAAGAAAAAATAACATAAATAACATTTTATTTTGGTCTTCAGAAATTGAATGAAAATGTCTGTGTCCAGGCATCCATTCCCACGAGTCTTCAGTCGCTGCAGCAAACGTGACCTAGACAGCTACTTCCAGAAGGGAGGGGGCATGTGTCTCTACAACATGCCCAACATGGAGGACCTGGTGGGGGGCAAGAAGTGTGGCAATGGCTTTGTGGAGGATGGAGAAGAGTGTGACTGTGGGGAACCGGATGTGAGTATTTTCCTTCTTTAATTTATGTAACACGCTTGCTTGTCTTGGAGTCCATCCAAATTACTATTGTTCTGGCATTTTGCTAGAGAACAAGATAAGGCTGTTTTGCTTTTTTGTCACCTAAGGACATGCAATGTTCAGTTTTCCAGTGGACAGTTGTGTGGATTATCATGCTATCAGTCTCATGTCTGTATGTTATGTGGTCAGTGTGGCTAACCTAGCTTAGCTTAAAGACTGGAAGAATGATCTTCAGGTTTGTTTAATCCATACATGTACACAAACAGAAATGTAAACCTGACAGTTTCTTGTCTTAGAGATGACTTGTTGGAACTGTGTCAGGCAAGGTGAAGACTACTTTTGTGCTGAAAAAGGTGGACAATAAAGTTGTTTGAATTGAATTTGAGTTGAACTATGGCTGCTTCTCATGTCTCCTATATGACCGTCTGTTCCTCAGTTATCAATCCTTGCTCCACTCAGAGGTCATTCTGGATGAGTGAGGATCAAGGGCATCCCAAGGCTCTTATGTTTGCTCTCAGGAGTGAGGAGGCTGCCAGAAGGAGACCAAGCTTTGCAGAAGACTTTTATGACTTGACCGTCCCTTTATCAGAAATTAGCTGGTGATTTGATGCTTCCGATGAAGGATCGGAGAAAGCACGTTTCATGTCCCAAAAAACATGTTTCCTTGATTCCTCTTTTCTCATATTTTCTCCTTGCATCTTTCCCCTACATCTTGTGTGGGTGGGACTAAGACACAAGGAAAGACATAAGTGAGGGACATGTGGACCCATATAAGAGACTTAGGATGCAGCATCAGTCTTGAAGTACAACAGTTTACCCATCTACCCAGCCTCTGTTCACCATTTCACTCTATAACACAGGCTGCTGCCTGATCTAGTTGATGATCAGAGGTTTTAGTTTGGTCTCTGTATAAACATGGCGGTATCAAAACTGGCAACCTCACTGTGATGCCAAAACTCTCTAAAATATAGGTATGGGACTGACATCAGTCTTCTCATCTCAATAGGTGACTACGTGTATTTCATAAAACTATTGTCCTGTTCAGAAGGTACTATGTGTATATTTTAATGGACAGATGTACTAAACTCTAGGGATGTTAACGATATTTGTAATTTCATGACAATGCTCAATACCATTGTGGTTCTGTGACCGTATCTACCAGGATATTACATGTGCTTATTTTGTGAGTATAACTGCGTTCAGGTTGCAGAATTTGAAACTGATATACTGTAGCGGATTCTCCATTGTTAACTTTTACAAGTGCTGTGTGGCAGCATTTTAGCATTTCCAGTTTCATGAAATGACACGAGTGGGAAGGAAACTGACAAACAATTTGCTTTAACAGAGATGGGCCAACAAAGTGGATGCAGAAATGCAAAACCAACCACTTAGCAGCCACCCTTAAAGTCTTTTCTCTTGAAAAAATAAACCATGATGTTTGATAAACACCTTTAGTCAAGCAGAAAAGCCACTTTTATGTAGCTTCTCCTAGTATATTTTGGCATCTTCTTCTCCTCCTTCTGGTGCGCCAAGCAGCAATTTGCTCACTACTTCCCTTGTGGTCGGGGGGAGATACACATTTCAACTGGTTCAGGGTTGAGAACCCAACCACCTGTCAGCATAGCCACCAAAATTAAATCTGCCTAGGAGGTACTTGACAGTTATTAGACATTTGATTTGAATGAGGAAAAGCTCTTTCAAAAGGAAAAACAAATGACAATACTTGGAGCAACAGACGTGTAATGGGTGTTATTTTTACTGAGTAGAGAAAAGCATGTTCTTCTGTCTATTATATATAGATGTCACTGAGGGAAAATGCAGCTGCTTCTACTTCACTGCGACCTTATCATGAATGCACTCTGCATCTCATCTGTGCAACACAGCTGAAAGATTGCTGAAAGTTTTCTCAAATCGGGATGAAGTGTTAGCGCTCCATAAACCCAGAGGTTAAGTAAGCCTTCTTTGGTTCAAGCAGCAGAACAAATTGAAAACAGAGGAAGCAAATTGGTAGCTGACAGCAGCGGTGCCTGTTATGACTCCCGCTCTGAGCGGAGCTGACAATCAAGCTCAGACTGCTGACAAGCCACCTGTTCTTAGCACTGCAAATGAGATGAGCTACAGAGTGCTCACACCTTGTGATTTCCCCTAGATGAATGATACACACGACAAACATATGGGTTTACAGTCCCAGATTGTAAACTCAACGGAACCCTGTTTTTCTTTGAAGAAGTCAGAATCCTTTCAAAACATCATTCACCACCAACATTTTTTGAGTAAATCTTAAAAGGCAAACTGTTTTATTTTGAAAATCAAATAACTCAACATGAAAGTGGGTTTGTGGAACCCTTTAAGTATTAGGATTCAAACATATCATGCTGACTCAGTCTTGTCGTTCAGAAGAACAACACACTACAAACAAGAAAGCCCTTTTGTTGTGTTCACCCATAATCCCTTCACCAATCTTTCCTGCCAATATAATTGTCTTTTTTTCTCTTGTTTGATTCCCACATTTGTTTGGAGCATAACCATGGCTCTACTGAGGGCACCATAATAACAGGAGATGTCTTTGTGAGATGTTGTCTACTTTTTTCTCCCTGTAAATATGTGTTCACATTGTGACATACCAGTTTTCTGCCACCTTAGAGCTGCTAGTCAGACGTGTACAGGGTATGATGATGACTGGGTGTGCAAGTGCTTTTGATGGGTGCCGCTTTCTATAAAGTTTTTTCCAATGGAGAATTTGTCCTCTAATCTTATGGATGGTAGGTGCTGAAGGGCATCTAGACCAATTCATTATTAACAAAGTATTAATATGATGATTGAGTTCAGTTGTTTTGTCCAAAGGGTGTGCTACCAAATATTATGTTGAAGGTGCAAATAATTCTATTCAGTCCATTTTTGGACCTGACAGAATAGTGGTTCTTTATCCACCATTCGAACAATCCTTCGTTACAATCTGCCATCTATTTTTCTCTTTCAACCACGTCCAGGGAGATTAGCTACAGGGCCATGGGCTGTAAACCTCTTGACAATGTTGTCACAGTGGACACAGGAGCAGCAAGATCTCTGGAAATGGACTCATAGCCTTGAGACAGGCTTTTCCACTATTCTCAAATCCTCAGACAGTTCTTTGCTCTTCTTTCTTTCCTCCATGTTCAGTGTGGTCCACATGACACAAAGGTTGAGTCAACTTTTCTCCATTTTAACTGGTTGCAAGTGTGATTTCTATGTTGTCAGAACCTGTTGGTTGCTACTGGTGAGCTTCATTAGAAATTTAAGGAGCATCACATGCTTGAAATACAACTATTTCTGATGATTTTGAAAAGGTGTCAATTCTGTGCAGTCTGTGGAGTTCTGTGTGGAATGGATCAGATTTGGCTTTTTTCAGCTTTTATGTGTCGTCCCAATGTAAACAAAAGGAATAAACATGAAAATACCAAAGAATTTGTGATTTCAACAGTTTTCTGGGAGAAGCAGTGTGTTATCTGACAGAAATGCAGGGGTGCCAATATTTCTGGCCATGATTGTAGGTGCTAACTTGATGTCTCTGACACTGAATTAGTGACCAAACTATTAAAACTGCTGACTTTATTTAATGGCTTACTATTTTTTAATTGCTACATTTATAGCTTATTAGAAAGTGAAACACTCTTGACTTTTTCTTAATGCTTGTTAATGACTTCATTAACAACTGAAAATGCAGAGAAGCTTATACAAACTGGCAATCCAAAGGCTTATTAGTTAGTCAGTGAATCTGAATCTAAATCAGCTTTATTGGCCAGGTGTGTTGGACACACGAGGAATTTGACTCTGGTACCTCAGCTCTCAATATGTATGTACATATCCTAATGTACAGCAATAGCAAAGGGCAAGTAAACAATATAAGGCTGAGAGAACAGAAAGTAAAGAAGTAATGTGCAAACAAACAAAGGAATGTGCCTTAGGAAACAGGTTAGAAATAGGAAGAAAAATAGAGACCTGTACACACACATGTATATACATAAACTTATAAACCTTTTGGTATTAGTACTGTTTGATGTTGGACTACTGATGAACTGGGATTGTGACTGTGGATGTGTACATTCAGGCGCTAGCATTGAGTTGATATAATGAGCTTGTGTGTGTGACTGTTTACAGGAGTGCACCAACGACTGCTGCAATGCTAATAACTGCACTTTGAAGGAGCAGGCTCAGTGTGCCCATGGAGTGTGCTGCGAGGGCTGCAAAGTAAGAAACGCAACAGACACACGTACAGGCAGAGTGGCATAAGAGGGAGCTCACCTCATTTGCAGTAATATCTGAGTATCATTAGTTTGCTGTCAGTCATCATGTCAGCAGCAAGCTGCATCCTCGGTGTGTGTCAGCCCCCATCACAGCAGGGCTCATCATCTTCACACCACAGCAACACTTTTCATCTCTGTTCTCATCTCCTTTTCCAAATGCAAATCCTGACATCCCATTGTAATCCACAGAGGTGTGAACCTAAATTCTGCTGGGCTTTAACCTGACAGAAAACAAAATACTGAAGGTGGCAATAACTTGTGCACTGCCTGCAGAAGAGGAGCTATAGCTTTTCTCAGTGTGCTTCTGTTATTCTGCTTCCAATGTTGTATATCTTTCAGCTTAAAAATTTCCTTTTACTTTACATGTTGTATAGGGCATGAAATTCTATACACTTAATATTTAATGCAGTTCTGCAATGTTTGAACAATGTTTCTAATAACCACCAGCCCAACTCACATAATTTAATACAACGGGTTGTGGTAGTAAAAAAATCTAGTGCTTCTGTCTTGCTTTTGTCATATATTTCTATGTACACTAAGTGTTAAAATGATCTGGTTGTTATTTTTCTCTGCCCAGCTATGAACGTGGACATGAGAACATTTTCCAGATAAAAATGAACAAATGTACCCTTACTGATCCTCTTTCTTCACACTCTCTCTGCATTAGTATAGCATAGGCATGGCATTGTGACTTTATTCCCACCAGTACTCGCATCACGGAACACCTCCTGCCCCCAGGCTTTTTGTAATGCTGTTAGTTTGTGATAAGTTAGTAGATGCCATTTGGTCCATCTACCTAAAAGGTATCACCACATTAGGGGTGATCTTCATGTTGTTTTGGGTGTCCTGTGCTCTCCCCTCCCTTCTATCTCACTGCTTATTTCTTGTCTTTTCCAGTTGAAGCAGGCAGGAACCATGTGCCGTGGGCCGGCGGGGCCGTGTGACCTGCCAGAGTATTGCAATGGGGCCTCTCCTTACTGTCCTGCCAATGTCTACCTGTTGGACGGCTCCTCCTGTCAGTATGAGTTGGCCTACTGCTACAACGGCATGTGCCTCACCCACGAACAGCAGTGCCTGCAGCTCTGGGGCTACGGTAATGAAAAGTCTGTTAGGCCCAATACCAACCATATACTTAACCACCTCGCCCAATATTCCAGCAGTAGACAGGCCCTTAAGCCAGTGTGAAGACTTACAACACTAGTGGAGCTTTGTAGAACAGAACAATCAATAAATGTGACATGTTGAGTTGTAATGTGCATCAGCTTATTTTATTGTTCTGCATTTTAATTTTTATTGACTAAAAACAGAGCTTTGTAGGTGTCTCATGTTATGAGAATTAGTGTTCATTTTGTCAGGTATTGTAAGAACAATCTTAATTTTAACCCTGAGATCACCCTGCATAATGACAATAAAGATTCTTGTTTTGAGATGCTGATAATACAGTACATAACATTGCACCATTGGTTTTTTTCACTTTGATGGCTTAATAAAAGTTAAAAACTAACTCAAAATGAGTAAATATCTTATAGAGAATGTGAGGGTACGTCACGCCGTGTTGAATGTTGGGACAAGGGCGCCATTTGGGGAGATGCGCGCTGTATTTACCCGCGTACATTCTTGTTTTGTTTGCCTAAAACGTTGCTTAAATCATTTAGATGTTACTTTACCTGTGGTAATTCAGAATGGATAACCTTAGCTAACTTATAGGGGACACGCTGGAGGGACTATGTCTCTCGGCTGGCCCTGG